TAAAAGATGATGGTTACACATCTGCAAGTGTTAAGTTGCGGGGCGACTTATTATTTCGTTATAATCAACTACAGCAATGACTGTCGCTCTTACAGAGTACAACACTCGCAAACGCGGATAATAGGAAATTACACCAGTGGTTTCGTTTCCTTAATGTTTGAAATTCTTCAATTTGCAATATTCTTGCAATGAACACGTATGAGATTTCACGTCATCGAGAAATGCACTTTACGTCTTCTTATTGAATCATAACAAGGCCTTCTCTATAACGGGGTGCCGTAGCCGAATGGATGTGATGCTCCTCACGGCGCACGTGTGGCCAAACCTAACCGCTCAACACTTTGCGGCACTCCAACGAACACCGTGTGGAGCGCCACAACTAGTCCATACTTGAACTCACTCGAGACCTGCTCAACCAGTACTCTGCGACATCCAAGAAGAAGACGAAAACACGATTGTTTGCTTGAAGTATTGGATTTCGCCCACTGAAGAAAAAAAAACTGTGGAAACGGATCAATGAAATGTATGCAGAACGTTTCTATAAATTGCATTGAGCTTAACTAGGCAACATGGAAACCTCTGCGGAAAACTAAGAATGTCATGTTCTAAGCATTATTCGCTCTAGTCTGCGAGAATCTTTGAACCTTACCGAGGTCACGTCATAACCGTATGTAGGATTTGGCGGTGTCGCCCACTTCTCGAAGACTTTCAACATTCTAGCAAACTATATTGAATGTTTTTAGCAAGAGGAGATGGATTCGTTTTTCTTACACATTAGCAAAACTATATTGACTTAGAAGCTATCTGTGTTCTCTACTTTGGCTAAATATAGCTGAGAAGACCAAATCTTTCTCACCTATCTGTAAAGCATCTCAGGTGCCACAATTGAACATTTCTAGGAGATGCTTCATTGGTGGATTACACCGCTTTCGATGGCACCGACATTCCTTCTGAAGTCCCATTGCCGCAGACTCCATGGGTCAAGGTAGAAATCTGTATTTTGACGTCCTTTCACGTTCCGTTGTTACTTAGCTGTGAATTGATTCAGAATTCAGTACACGAAGAAATCAAGGAATGGGTTTTGGCAACATCGGTAGATGACGGAGTGACACGCGATCTCAAACTCGACTCGCGCGGCCTATTTGAAGCCACTATCGAGGCCAATGGTCAAAAATGGCCGGAATGTATAATAACAGGTATTGTTTTCAAAAAAAAAGAAATAATGAAAGGAGGTAATGAAACAAAACATGGTTAAAGAGGCTTACAAGGTAGAGGGTTTTATGAAGTAAACACCCAGAAGTTCACTTTTTGCGATCTTCCCCTTTGAAATAACCGACGTTTACTTGCTTTTGTAACATCTTCAGTGCCACTTTATCTATTCGTATTTGAAGGCTATCCTATCACGAAGAGCCGCGTCGACTTCGGGGATCTCTGTGCGGACAAAGACGATCTCAATCGATTCCTGATTGCCATCAAAACTACCCCCAGTGATGGGCTTATTAGTGTTCAAGAGTTTATGTCTAAATGGGCGAATCAACCACTGAACATGTCCTTGTAGAATGAATTTGTTTTCTTTGTTTTTTTTTGATTGTACTTACCAAACCTTACGCTGATTACAGTACGATCAAAAGGACTGTAACGTACAAAGTACGCTGATTGTTACGTATCTGCTCATATATAAACATGCAGTAGTTGTTGTTCACATAGATATACATCTTGCAAATGGAGCTGCTTAGAAGGCGGTCAGCATGATTTTCAACTTACATGCTTTGTTGAAATGCCTAAAAATGTCCTCAAAATGTATAGCACAGCCTTGCCTCAATGCAATGATCATTGGTCCGAATAGGCTTTTGAAATCCGGAAAAATAGTATCGCTGGGCAGGTCTAGTATAATGACAAAATGAACACTTGCATTTTCCAACCTTTTTGTAAAATGTGGACCATCGGCCGATAGCTTTTCTGTTGTGTGACGGTTCTTGCTCATTGGTTTCGTTTAGAACATATTGCGTGTTCGCCTCACCTTTTTTCAATAGCTTGAACTATAGAATGGTACCTTTGGTTCCAATTCGTTGACGTGAGTAAGGATTTTGGATCCTTTCTATTATTGGGGAAATATGGGATGCTCCTGAACCAACTTTTGAGAGCGTATTCACTATCGCTCAGTGATCTTTCATCCTGCTTCCATAGCAATCAAGTCTCCGATGCATAATGACAGGGGTAAATTTTGAGTCGCAAAAGTCGATACAGAGTCGGGTAATCTGCGTATTCCCGATACCCCTGAAGGTCACTCAAGCGGCTCGATTTCTTCTAGTGCACTCTTGAGTTCAAGTAATGTTCATCACTACTACTTGACTATCTAACCTAGACGTGAGTGGAAAATTCGGTATATTCATTCTGTTGAGCGCAAATGGTGCTTTAAAAACCGATCCGTTCTTCATAGACATTTTTTGAGAGAATTTGTCGGAAACCAATTTTTCCTCAAGCAAACCCTAAATTGGTCGACATTCGCTTTGCTTGGTTGATGCTTGGTGTTAGAAGAGCGATATCATCAGCAAATCGAAGATGGTCCAAATGTTTACTATCGATTTTGACTCCCCTACAGTCTCATTCTAATGTTTGCATAACATTCTAGATTGTGGAAGCGAATAATTCTTGATCAAATGGTATCGCCTTGTCAAACCCTCCCTTTTGTGCTAATATAATATCGTTGAGGATAGTTTCCAGTTGTGGAATCTTCATCTAGCCCACAAAGAACTGAGTTGGGATGCCGTGGCTATCTAAAGCATCTATGGCCGCTTTTGTTCCAATTGAAGCAACGATATTCACCTTGAGATCGATGAACGAGAGGCAGTTGCTTGCTCGCATAGCTGCTCTTCGTCAAGTGCTTTGTCGATTCTGTTTAGGATGACTTGAGGAGAATTTATAGACGACAGGTAGCAGGCAGGTTGGGTGATAGCGGCCGATGTCGTGAATGCTTTATTTTTTGGACAACAGCGCAGTCCTGGTGGCTTTTCACTGATAGGAATCTTCCAATCGGACAGGTAACGATTGAGGAGCCGAGCCAGTGTGCTGATGGGAATTGGCGGACGCTCTTTCAAATATTCCGATCTTATCGTGCCTGAACCAGGTGTTGTTCGATTTTTCATCGACCAATTATTATGTCGGATTTCGAAAAAAATAGCTAATGAAACGCCATATCCATCTTTCATTTCATAAGTTGGAAAGAGTACGTATCAAAAGAGATTTGAATTTTAACTGAAGATGATTTTTTTACATCAATTCTCGGGCAACCATATTTTAGTTCGTTAGAACGTTGATGTGCAATCATTTTCGCTTTGTAGCTGGCGAAGGTTTGATGTGTTTAGCGAATGGTTTTTCCAGCTTCTGCAGCTCTGACCATGCTGTCGCCCTATCCTTGAGATCTTCTTATCGCATCCTTGCACTGTCTTGAATTTTAGATGCAACTTGACGGATACCTTTGGTTCGCGCTATATCTTAGCTAAATGCTATAAGGCTTTTGTTGAATAAAATTAGCAGGTTTCTCTCCTTTTCGCTAGGATGGAATGTTGCGCAAAGAGACGCTGGTCTAATTCCTTGTGGATCTTTGGAACAACACAACAGTTAGGCAGAACCTTCGATTTACTGTGATGTGGTCTATTTCGTTATGGTTCTCTCACTGGCGCATATGGACGTGGTGAGAGGTGCTCTGTGTCGCACACAAGGTCAATCGTGTGATTGCGCTCATGGTTTATCAACTCATCCATGCCTCCGGGGTCGGTAGGTCGGTACCATACTGGTAGCAGACCTGTCCCAGAAGATAAGCAGCATTGACACGATACAGCACGGGGCCACCGCGAGTCATTGTAAAATCCAGATATGCATTCAGTCACCTCAGGCGAAGATGAAAATTGAAGACGAATGCATGGTGCATACCTCAGGGATGGTCAACACCGAGAGTTCTCTTTATCCTAATCACCACTAGAAGACTCTCATGTCCATCGGTCGAAGTGATGCTTCTAAGAATTGTTATCATGGATGGTTTGCTCGTCATGATAAACTCAGGCAGCCTCTCATCCTGATTGTACCACTCTAGTCCGTCGGTGTCAGAATGACGTTGAAAAAAGATGCTTCTGAAAAACATGTTTCAAACAGCCGCCAGTGTCCTACTGGGAGATAGCAAAGGATATACTCCTGGAATTCAACGAAAAATAGCTTTTTTCTAATGGCGAAACTGTGGCTCCCTGGTGCAGGTTTAGGGACTAAAACGTCCGAAACGATAATTCCAAAAAAAGTGAGGTCTTCTTACTCCCACCTTTCTCTTCAGAAGGGACAAAAAAACTGTGAAACATTGATTGAAGAAAAACCGGCCTAGAAAAATCAGTAACGCTTACTGAGATACCAGCGAATACTCTGAACTGCAAACGATTCGCAATTTCTTATACGATCGTCTATGTACAACACAAGAGTGCATAATATGGCTTATCAGTAGAGGCGGTGATTGCATGAGCACAGGTAACGTTCGCCTAATCTTCTGTAAAGCGTGTGACCATGAATTCATTGGCGAAAAGGGGATGCCACTATGTGTCAGCATTAAGCTAACCTAGGCAGCAAGTTCAACCCGGGACCACGTACACGGCTCTGCTCACATTTGAGACAGACACATAGCGGCGAGGGTATTGAAGTACTACTTGCCATCATCGCACAGGAACATGAGACACAAACGTTTATAGTTTTCAATGATCAATCGGAAATCATTTTTATTTGACCGCCTATTACGATGTTACGATGTGACAATAACCACTCTACATCATTGAATTTATTGTTACATCATAACACCGCAATTGACGGTCAAATAAAAATGATTTCCGATTGATTTTAAAACCCAATATCTGTCAACACAAGTGGGTTCAATGCCGATAATGACTGCCACGCCACACCGTAGACGGTTGGCTTTCGACAGATAACGCGTTCTAGCATAAAAAGAGTGGAGTGCAAAACGAGCGTCGGTGGTACAACGGTTTAGCACACGCTCCTGGAAAGAGTAAAATTTGTGTTCGATTCCCGGCTGACGCAAACGCTTTTGCACACCTTTCTACATCATTAGGATTGATGTTTTAGAAACGTTCTAAATAAAGATTAATAATCGAAATATGAATCGCAAGGAAGAATGCCTACAGACGATATGAAACAGTATAAGATTGAGATTTCAATGCGGGCAGGTGCATTCGCATTGCATGTGATATATGCACGGTTCATGCTCACTTGAATAGTCCAATGGAGAATTTATGAAACGGTATGTTAGAGGTTGATTTGTATTCGATGCCATTGAAATTTAAGTTTGGTGAATTTTTCCAAAGAAGTAGTGGAGGTGTTTAGCTGACTATGTTGTAATCAACCTGATCTTTTCAAGCTTCAAAGAAGGCGACTGCCAAAATGTCACTGTTTGGATAAATTGGAGTATGTCATCCTCAACTTATGGTTTAGAGACGAAAGTGTGATTTATAGAAGAATGCTGAGATTAATGGATAGTTGGTTTTGAGGACTATCAAATACGAATTTCGTTTGCTATGTTGGCATTTGAATTGTTACATCAAAATAGCAATGTTTTAGTTGCACTAGCGTAAACTCGGAAACTCGTGTAATTGGTGAAGGAGAACTCACGTTTACTAGAAAAAAGTTACTTTAGTAATCATTTAATAGCGTAATGTTTTGCAATTCTAGAGACTTGCTTATTTTTTGAAAATACGGCTTGGCAGGGAAAATAATATCGAATTTTACATTTTCGGCACGTTGTTTGCTGGCTATTCGACAAGGCGACGGCCGTGACAGAGACGTGATCGGAGCGTGGTCGAGACGAAACGATAAATATGTTCTTATTCAATTGCAAATTTTTTCTCCACTTCTAAAGAAACTCCGGATAAGACGATTGACTAAGATACTACGAAAATTTCGCTACACATATGCTTTTCGGCTTCCCTCAAATTATACGCATGATAAAAATATAAGCGAAAGGCAAGTGTGAAGCATAATTTTTGATATGGATGCTACAGTATAATACAGGGGTGCTGGAAAAGCCGGCGACTTGGAGCTGTAGCCTTAAGTCTCAGCTTCCTAATGGTTACTACCACTCCTACGGAAAGCTTCGCTTTAGCGGAAGAATCGTTATTTCTGATCCATCCTCGATTACGGAAGCATCCTGATACAACGAACGTTTACACTTCTAAAATTGAAAAATATATATATATATATATATATATAAACTATGAGGAGCTAAATGCGATGTGTAAGGGAAGGATTTTGTGGCATACGCTTGAAAAATGTGAGTCTACTAATGACTTTTCGCATAGTCCTATGACAAATGATGAAATGTTAGTGGTGCGCACTTGAAAGGCTCTCAGTTTGATTTGATGAAATCCAAAATAGAATGGGTTTGTTATCGATTCCATTCATCAGCTATGAAAGATTGATGTTTATTCGGTTAGCTGAACGAACTCAAGACCAAGCTGGTCCCTCCAGCCGTCGATGGAAGGCGTCCTTATGATGCACAGGACAATGTCGATTTCGGTGAAGCAGGAGAATTTGCTCGAACAACGATCGTTCTAAAAATACGTAGGTCTCACTGCGATATTGCCATTGTTTCCTTTTATGAGGGGAGTCGAGGGCGTTAATTGTAGGATACACCAAATGTAATTTCTTACATAATGCAAAGTAATAGCTAACATTTCAGCTCATCGCCGTCCACGGAGTCTGCGAAGATCACATTGAGTCATTTAGTCAGTCATATATCTAGCATCCAGCAGAAAAATGTGCTGAACATATTTTTGAACCGCTCAGTAAACAGCTCCCTTCGAACCATTCACTGTTTTGCCATTTTGAGTCTCGCAATTATTCAAGGGAGATAAATCACACAGAGTTTTGTATAAAAAAGAAATGCAACAGGCTCCTTTCTGGGATTCCGTTATAAATTCAGAAGGCTTTCCCAAGTTCCGCAAGCGGGTGTCTTTTAATCCTGTATACCGTGAACGTAACGTTGAAATCTCCTCCCATATATTTTTTTTCCCTATGAGTGCCTATGAGTGACGGATAGTGGAGTTTTTGGGTCGAAGTTGGGGATGTTTGTGGAGATTACTTAGAATGAATTATCGCTGCTAAAAAAAAACTTTAACGGAGGATCGATGGATTCGAATCCACAATTTTATGTTTCATTAGCAGGCGCGTATTAATGGCATTGTATGGTCCTTCTCTTTCTACGGCCTTCAGTCAAAATTGTAGTATTTTGAAAGAGCATGAAGAACGACTATGCTATTGTTCTGCACAGTTTCCAAAGATTGCTTAGAGATTAAATTTGTACCAAAAGTTCTAACATAAACAAAGCACTACGACCCCGGCAGGATTCGACCTGCAATCTTTTGCCCCGTAGGTCGACCCGTTATCCATCACGCCACGCGGCCACATTTTAACGGTCGGCTAAGCAAGCATTAACCACATGTCGATGGCGAAGTCATATTTGTATACACAAATTTACGTGACAGATAAGAGGTTAAATACCGACCAACAGTGACCTTGTGCATTTTAAACACATTGCTGGATCCCAGAAGATTTATCACTTGTTTCTGCTCAGTTACTTTTTGAAGGTGGTGCGACCTACACTCAGACTCGTTGGAGGATGAAGAGAGCACAAAACATCTCTCCGTTCTAATTTCACCGATGCAAATAAATTCACTACTTACAATATCACTAAAACGTTATTAATACCTTCATAATGTCGGCGTAGAAAGAATGAGAGACAGGACAGTACTATATCACCAAAATTCACCGCTGTTAACTTCCACAGGGTCGTGTGAACATAAAAATTGAGCTACAAGCGAGTGGAAATTGATGGTTGCCAATCAATCTTCGCCTCGCTGATAATATCGTCCTTAATACGAATTAAAAGCTATGCTAAAACTGTTGCTTACAATTTCAATAACGATTGTATAAGAATGCTCTTTAACTAAATATAACAAAAAAAAACAAATGGAAATGGAATGTTTCCTTGTGCTTTATTGAAGCTTAGCGGAGTAAATATCTCCGAATGCTCCAGTCACGTTTATTACGGTAGGGAAACCAACGTGACGGATTCATTTGCAGAATTGATCAATAGGAAGCGAAACGCTAGGAAATTCTTCGATTATCCAGAACGTAGTAAGGCGACAAAAAAGAGGCCACGTGATTTTCTTCTTCGACATTTGTCAGCCCTATCGTATGCGTCAGGAACCTCTTAGCCATGATAAAATATCACTCAGTACCGATCCTGCAATCATTCTATATTAGGATTAGAAGGTTTGGAAGGATTACTCAAAAAAATTGATGATTAACAGACAATATGTGGCAAGTGAAAAGTGATGGGCAAAAACTTAACATTAAATGAATAGATCCTTTCATTATTATTTGAGCGAACATGTTATGTGGTCTGTGGTGTTATGATATTTTATCATGTTTAAGAGGTTCCTGACGCATACGATAGGGCTGACAAAAAGTCGAAGAAGAAAATCAGGTGGCCTCTTTTTTGTCGCCTTTACTAGGTTCTGGATAATCGAAGAATTTCCTGGCGTTTCGCTTCCTATTGATCATTTCTGCAACTGAATCCGTCACGTTGGTTTCCCGAGCGTAATAAACGTGACTGGAGCATTCGGAGATATTTACTCCGCTAAGCTTCAATAAAACACAAGGAAACATTCCATTGTCATTTGTTTTTTTTTTCTTAGATTCAGTCGAAGACCATTCCTTTATACATTCGTTACTGAAAGTGCATAGCAATAGTTTTGCATAGCTTATAATTCGTATTAAGGACGATATTATCAGCGAGGCGAAACTGATTGGCAACCATCAATTTCCACTCGCTTGTAGCTCAAATTTTATGTTCACACGACCCTGTGGAAGTTAACAGCTGTGAATTTTGGTGATATAGTACTGTCCTGTCTCTCATTCTTTCTACGCCGACATTATAAAGGTGATAATAACGCTGTAGTGTTATTGTAGTAGTGAATTTTTTTGTATCGGTGAAATTAGAACAGAGAGATGTTTTGTGTTCTCTTCATCCTCCAACGAGTCTGAGTGTAGGTCGCACCACCTCTAAACAGTAACTGAGCTGAAACAGGTGATAAATCTTCTGGGTCCAGCAATGTGTTGAAAATGCACAAGGTCACTATTAGTCGGTATTTAAACCTTTATTTGCACGTAAATTTGTGTATACAAGTATGACTTCGCCATTAACAGGTGAATAATGCGTTCATAAGAAAGAGGGCCATGTGGCCGCGTGGCGCAATGGATAACGCGTCTGCCTACGGAGCAGAAGATTGCAGGTTCGAATCCTGCCGTGGTCGTAATGTTTTCTTTATGTTAGACCTTTTTGGTACAAATGTAATCTCCAAGCAATCTTTGGAAACTGCGCAAAACAATAGCATAGTCGTTCTTTAATCTCTCTTAATATACTACAATTTTGGCTGGAGGTCGTACAAAGAGAAGACATACAATGTTATTGATACGTGCTTGCTAATGAAACAGAAAATTGTAGATACGAATCCATCGAACCTCCGTTGAAGTCTTATTTTTTAGCACCGATAATTCATTGTAAGTAATCTCCACAAAACATCTTCAACTTCGACCCAGAAACTCCGCTAGCCAGGCACTCATAGGGAACAGAATATATGGGAGCAGATTTCAACGTTACGTTCACGGTCCTTGCACAGGATTGAAAGACACCCGTTTGTGAAACTTTGAAAGCCTTATGAATTTATGGTAAAATCCCAGAAATGAACCTCAACGAACAGTGCCTGGCATTAACGCGTACTATATCACCAAAATTCACCGCTGTTAACTTCCGGAGAGTCGTGTAAACATAAAAGTTGAGCTGCAAGCGAGTGGATTACGCCAAGATCTACATTCATCGTGATCTTGGTTTTCGTCTGAAGTAAGAATATCGGGGAAACGATCAATTTGAATCATCTCAGAACTGTATAATCATGGCATTAATATAACCTGTATCACGTTTAGATTGGGACAAGGTGATTTGCGTGAGACTTTGTTTTTCT